TTTGCCCAAGTAACAAACTCCCTAGAAATTAGAATGAACCAAATAGGCGTTATAATCACTCTATGAAACAAATATTAAAACAAAGTCAAAAGGCTGGAAAAAAATGAAATTATATGGTATCTCATAGCAAAAACAACTGACCTGGGAAACGGATCCAGGAGGGAGGAAAAAAACCAAAATTGGACTGCTTGAAACGCATTACCAAAGAAAGCCTAGACATCATATTTCTTTTTTTTTTTTTAATTTTTTTCCTAGACATCATATTTCAAGAAATCTTGAAAACAAAACTCCAGATCTCTTAGAACCAGAATGCAAAGTAGAAATAGAAAGAATCTACTAGTCATTTCCTGAAAGAAACCCGCAAATGAAAACTCCCAGGAACAGTATGGCCAAATTTCGAGCTTCTACTAGGTGAAAGAAAAAATACTGTAAGCAGCCAGGAAAAAAATAATTCAAATTCTGAGGAGCCACAGTAAAGATCATATAAGATTTAGCAACTACTACTATATAAGAGCAGAGAGTTTGAACTGCATACATTATTCTAGAAGGCAAAAGATATAAAGTTATAGCCATTGACTTTTAATGAAACAGTGGCCTTCCAAGCATTCTGGATAAAAAGACCAGAGCTGCATAGAACCTTTGAAGTTCAAGCACATGAATTAAGAGAATTATAAAAAGGTAAACAGTGGTAAGGCATTAAACAAGGATAAACTTTACATTCAAATATGGGGAGATGATAATGTTTGCCCCTGAAGAATCTTATCATCATCATCATGAATCTTATCAAGAAGGAATCTAATTAGACAAGGTGTGAGAGTGGTTCTATTATACATAGATGATCTTAAGAGAAAAGTGGAAAGGGGGGAAGAGCAATGTGCTGGGGGTGGGGTGTTAGGGGAAATTATGTCAAATAATCAGGGTGCACAAATAGACATTTATAGAAACAAAGAGGGGGTGGGGTAGCTGACGCTTGACCCAAACTCTCATCTGACCTGATTTAAAAAAAAGAAAGATTATACACATATATGTAGTTGGATGCAGAAATAAATTTCACTCCATAGGGAAATAGGACAGAAAGGAGTAAAGGGGGAATTGGATGGTAGATTAAAAGAGGGATTAGAACTAAGCAAAACAAACTTGTCAGATGTAAAAAAATAGTATAGTTCTTTTTGAGGTGGTAAAGAATGGGAATCGGAGGATGCCCATACATTGGGGAATGGTTGGACAAGTTATGGTATGTAAATGTGATGGAAGACTATTGTGCTATAAGAAATGATGATGAGGATGGTTTTGGAGAAGCCTGGGACAACTTGTATGAACAGATGTACAGTGGAGTGAACAAAATCAAGAGTATAGTTTATACTATGAAAATTAAATTAAAGACAGATAACTTTGAAATAATTAGGGATTCTGCTCAGTGTAACGATTAACCACAATTCCAGACAACTAATGATGAAACCCATTTCCTAATAGAGGTAAAGGACTTAGTACGGAATGAGACATTTTTTTCAATACAGCCAGTACAGAAATTTGTTTTTCTTGACCATACATGTTTATAACGGGTTTTGTTTTCCATTCTTAATTGGCTTGAGGGGTGGGGAGGTTGGCATGGGAGGGAGAGAAGGTGGATTTTTGCTGATTGAAAATACATATATACACACACATATGTATGTGTGTGTATATATATGTGTGTGTGTATATATACATTATATATGCATATATACACATATATACATACACACACACACACATATATATATATATAGGAAGTTTTTATAAAGCTCATAAAGGAATCCCTGCTTCCTTCTGAAGATAAATGTCTATCTTGTTAGCCCTACTAGCCTGCAGTTGTCATTAACTAAAGTACTGTTGGGTCATTGCCAAAGTTAGCTAGCCTTGGCTTCCATCATCAGATCATACCCATGCTCTGGGACCTTTGCTGACTCCCCCTGTCCATCCTCCCCAGCCTTAACCTCAATTTTGTATTCTATTTTAGCTCCTCATAGGTGTAGTTCCTCATAGAACTCCCCCAAGTTCTTCAGTGCCTCATTGTGGCATGGAGGTGACTGCTGGAGTCTGGAAGCCTATAACAATAATACCTAACATTTATATAGCACTTTAAGATTTGCAAAATGCTTTACATTCATGAATACGTTTAGTCCTCATAACTACTTTAAGGGTAACTGTTATTATCCCCATTTTACAGATGAGGAAACTAAGGCTGAAGGATAGGTGACTTCCCTAGTATAACACAGCAGTGTCTGAGACCGGATTCAAACTGGGATCTGTCCTGACTCTAAGTCCAGTACTTTATGTACTGTACCTAATATCTACCATGGGGATGCAAGTGCTGACAGATCTTGCCTAACTGAAAAAGCTTTGAGTGCAGGTCATGTATTGGCATCATTCTGTCTAAGTATAGAAAAGCACTTCTCTACAAGATTGGCCAGTAAGTGATAACATTTTTTGGCTATGATAATTCATGAATATTGTCTACTATAGAACAGATGAGTTGTGATCTATATCCAAGCAGAAGACGACCTGCACTACTGAAATCTTGCCTTCCTTGTGTATTCATGCTTCAGGTGGGTTGGGTCAGATGACCCCTCACTTCTTTTCTAAATGTAAGGTTCTGTGCATTTATGATGAAGTGTCCTACCACCTTAACTAGACTGTCTCTGGCCACTTAACAGCTCCACAGAAGTTGCCTCCCCTGGACTTGTCCAGTAAGGCCTCCTGAGCAGTCATTCCATCACATCGTCTCTGGCCACCTGCAACTCCACAGTAGTTACCTTGCCCCTGCCTAGGTACCACCCTCTCATCCCCAAGCTTTCCAGCTTCCATTGCTTCCTGAGGCTCTGGGACGACTTCACCTTACCTGAACTTAATTCTGCAATGGTCGACATACACCTGTGAGGTAGTATTTGTAAAGCACTTAGCGCGATGCCTAGCATGTGGTAGGTGTTATATAAATGCTTATTCCCTCTCTGCTCTTCTTCCTTATCCCAATGATTCTGGTCCCCCGCCGACTACTTCCTTATTCCTGTTCTCCTCAGCTCGACCACTCTAAACCTACCCAGCAATTCCGCTGTGCTCTCTGGAATGCCTGCTCCATACGTAACTAACCAGCTTTCATCTTACATCTTTTCCTTTCTTGCCCCTTCCATCTTCTTGCTCTCACTAGGCCTGGCTGTGCCCTGATGACACAACTTCCTTGGCCACTTACTGATCATGGTGGGGAAATTGGAATACGCCTTGCCCCACACTGCCTCTTCCAGGCTCTCCCTCTACCACCGTCATTGAGTAACCTCTCCTCCTTTGAAGTTCATTCAGTCTGTATCCATAACCTCATTAAGATTCTGCTGGCTGTCATCCGCCGACCCCCAGGACACTTTTTATTTCCTTCCTCAGTCCCTGGTACTCAGTGTTTCCGTCTTTCTGAACTGCTCTCATGTTCAATGTGCATACTGATACTTCTTCAAACACTTTAATCTCCTACTCCTTAGTCTCACCTCAGCTACACAGAGAGAGGTTCATATCACTGATCTTTCATTAACCCACAAATGCATCATTTCCACGTTCAGTAACTGTAAAATTCCCTTATTTGACCATAATTTGTTGTCATTTCACCTCTTCCTCTGCCTTGCAATTCCAAAACCTGTTCTTTCTTTTCTTCTTCTTTTTGAGGTAATCAGGGTTAAGTGACTTGCATAGGGTCATACAGCTAGTAAGGGTCTGGGGCCAAATTTGGACTCTTGACTCCAGGGCCAGTGCTCTGTCCACTGCATCCCCTCGCTGCCTAGTGTTCTTCATTCTTAGCATGACCTCTAATCTCTGCACACTTTAGTTCTTTCCCAAGCCATCAATCCTGTACTGGCTGCACTCCCCTCCCCATCCCATCTTGACTTCTTGATGAACCAGCTCAACTCCACAAAGTCCTCTTCTCTTGAGTTCCTTGCCCTTTCATCCTATTGAAGGCCTTGTCCTGGCAAACCTCAGTCTTGGATTGTTCTTACCATCACCTGCCTTCTCTACTAATGTGCTGCTGAAAGGATCCTCTCTTCTGAATTTTGCCATTCTTTATCATTGCTGAAGGCACCACCATCCTCCCAGTCATCCAGGCTTGCAGCCTTGCATTCTCAGCTCATTCTTACCCACCACATTCAATCGTTTGCCAAGTCCTATTTGTTTTTACCTTTACAACATCTCTGGTATATGCCCCCTTCTCTCCTTTGACACTGCCACCGCCATTATCATGGTGCAGGCCCTGCTATTGCAGTAGCCTGCTCATTGATCTCTCTTACTCCATTCCGTCTTTACTGAGCTCTCCATTTACTTTTCTGATAGTGCTAGTCTGATCCTATCAACCCTGCCCCCCCCCCCCTCCGCCATTTCAGTCAACACCAGTGGCTCTGTCTTACCTCCAGGATGAAATACAAAATCTTCTGTTTGGTTTTTTAATTGTCTCCTTCCTGCAGTTTCAGTCTTCTTACGCCCTACAGCCTGCCACATACTTTGCTTTGCAGTGACACTGACCTCCTTGTTCCTCACACAAGACATTTCATCTCCTGATTTTACTAATTTTCACTGATTGGCCCCCATGGCTGGAATCTCTCTCCCTTCTCATCTTCTCCTGGCCTCCCTGATTTCCTTCAAGTTGCAGGTAAAATCCCACTTTCTGCAAGAAACTTTTCCCAGCCCTTCTTAATCTTGGTGCCTTCCCTCTGAAATTATCTCTAGTTTACTGTGTGTACACACGCGCGCGCACATGCACACACACACACAAAATCTTGTTTGTACATAGTTGTTTGCATGTTGTCTTATCTGTTAGACTGTGAGCTCCCTGAGGGCAGGGACCGTCTTTTGCCCTATGCTTGTTAACTTAATTAGGCTGTAAGCTTTGAGGGCAGGGACCTGGGCCTAGTGTGTCATTGTTGTGACACTAATAAATGTCTGTTGACCTTGGTTCATTGCTTTTTCCTCTTTTCTGCTCTGTCTAGGAGGGAAGCTGATGGGAAGATGTATGTGAAGTACCAGGTGATTGGCAAGAACAATGTAGCGGTACCCACCCACTTCTTTAAGGTGCTGATCCTTGAGGCTCCTGGAGGGCAGATCGAGCTCCGTTCATACGTGATGCCCAATGCACCTGTGGATGAGAATATCCCCCTGGAGCGCTTCCTGGTTCCCATTGAAAGCATAGAGCGGGCCTCTGGACTGCTCTTTATGCCCAACATTCTCACACGGACGAGCAACCTGAAGGCCATTGCCCCTGGGGCTAAGTGAAGGCATTGAGGGGCAGGGCCAAGGGACCTGGAAAGAGACAGAACAAGGGCCAGTCCAGTGCAGTGAATAGAGTATGGGACAGGGCAATGGGATTTTGAATCCTAGCTCTGCTGTTTATTACCTGTATGACTCTGAGGAAATCATTTCCCCATCTGTAAAATGTCAGAATTCCTAGGGCTGGTGGATACCTGAACATTCCCTATTTATTCCTGGGCATCTTTGGGGGCAAGAGGTTACCCTCTTGGCTAGAAGTCTCCCCCTACCCCTGCATACCTTGGTTTGTCCTTGGGCCTGCTTCTGGGGGACAGATCTGGCTAGGGCTTTTTCAGCTCTCTTGGGGGAGGTTTGTCTCCCCTAGTACTGTTTTAGGAGGTTCTCAGGCACCTCATATTATGGTGGGAAAGTGGCACTCCCTGTGCCTTGTATTTTGTCGAACCTACCTTTAATAGGCTAGAGAGGTACTCCTCCAACCCCTTGAAATAGTTTCATCTTTGTAATGAAGGGTTTGCTGTTGTTCCTGGGTTGTGATCCGTGACCTACTAGACCTGGGAGGGTTCTCCTTAGGTAGGAGAAGACCAGAAAATCCCAAGGATTCCACAGCTTGGTGGAGTCAACCAGTGCCATTGGGCACCTTCATCACATCTGTATACAAGACTGCTGTGTTTCCATCCCCACTGCCCACTACCTGTAGGTCTGTTGGCAAAGTTATTTTGCCTTTTTGGGCTTCATTTTCCCATCTGAAATGAGGGGGTTGGTAAGACGTTAAAAAGAAAATACAAGAAATTACAATGTTGAAACATGTATTGTGGTAAAAATTATATTTCTCAAATTAATCTGTAACTTCAGTGATAGACCAAATTACTAAGAGGATACTTTATGTAATTAGAATAACAATTTATGTGGAGGATATTACCAAGGGATTACTTTATAATTGGGCAAAGTAATATATTTCATCTTGAGGAATAAAAGGTCAAGAATATCTAGGAAGTAATGAAAAAAGTAGGAATGAAGTCAGTTTGGTATTGTCAGATCTCAAAAGAACACAAAGTACTGGGGAAAAAGCTTCTGGGAAAACTGGTTAGTAGTTTGGTAGCAAATAGGTTTAGACCTGCCTGTTACACCATATGCTACAATACCAAGTAGGTAAATTGGTTAAACAAAAAAGTTGTACTATTGACAGTTTAGGGGAGGAAGAAGAGTAATCCTTCTCCTAACTCTTAGTAGGGGATGAATGTGTAACCATGGGTGATGCAGATAATACTATGGAAGATAAAATAGACTACTTTGATTACTTGAACATTTGTAGAATTTGTAAAAGTTTGAAATGCAGAATCTGCCATGAACTTCTACAGTATGATTAAAAGCCACTCTCCAATAGATAAATGGTTTCCCTTTTTCAGACCATTCCCAGAATTCTCAAACCATTCCCAGAATCATTTTTGGGAACCTCCATCAGGCCAGTTTGTTAGCTTTGACGAATACTATCCCCAGTATTTTATAGAAATACCTCATCTCCTCTAGAATTTGATCGCATAAAACCTGAAAGACCTCTGAGTACTTATATCAGGTTACCCTTTGAAGGATTCCAGAATAAGAATAAGATGTGTTTGGGCTTGGTGAATAATCAGGCCCAGGGTGGTAAACAGTAAGTCCCCCATAAGAGGCAGTTCCAACTTCTGCTCCAATGCTTCCAGTGATGAAGGGCTCGCTACAGTATGACATGTCATTTTACTTTTTTTGCATAAAAAAGATGTGTATGTGACCATTTCAGGTTTGAATAGCTCTAAATGTTAGTTATGTTGATCTGAAATCTGCCTCTCTTTAATTTCCCACCATTGGTTCTAGTTGCGCTTTCTTAAGCTGCATAGAACAGCTGTTGTTCAGGGCCCATCAGATAAAGACGGTGATGGTGGTTATATCTCTTAAAGGTTAAGCATTCTAATTCCTTCAACTCATGGTTTTTTCTCAGCATGTTCTTCTTCATCTTGTAGACAAGCCCCAGTTTGTCAGTGTCCCTTTTAAAATACGAGAACCAGGGAATACCAAGGATGGAGTAACTGGGACTTCTTAGAAGTTCAGCAGTATAGAAAAGACAGTCTAGCACCTAGTTAGCGGAAATGATTGGTTAAAATAGGAAGCTCGTAATCGGCAGGTTTCACCCACCCCATACCCAGGAATAGTCCCACAATGTCTCCTCCATGGTAGGGGGAGTGGGAGGTTTGGGATGGAGTATGTTATCTCCCACTGAATTTGTCTAAAACCATTGATTTGAGGGTTATGAAACTTGCTCTTAAAGACCTGCCCCAAAGGGAAGACAATACTACAGATGTCATCTCATCGCAAAGAACATCACAAACTCTTTTCTGTGGGCATTGTATTTGTAATTGAGGTACAAAGAAATCTAATTAATGTTTTTGCTGAGCTAATTCACATTGTGAAAATTTTCTCAAGTGAACTACTTATCAAATAACACTGCCCATCCTGATCAATAAATACCAATCCAGCCCACTAGTCCTGAATTTTCAGTCTGTCTCTAAACAGCCATATTGAACAGATGACCAGATGGAATGTTGAGTAGACACAAACATCTGAGGAGGGCCTGACAGAGAACTGCCCCTTAGATAAATTCACCAAGAGGTAGTGATGGCTGCAAGGGCATTGTGATCCATGGGCTCATTTGTGTGTGACTTCTGGCTTACAGAGGACATAGCCGATAAATTACGAGTCAAGTAAGTATTTGGGGACTATGGGAAGATTACATAAGGAGTGCTAGTCATGCCTGACAGAAATGTGGAATTTTTGAATTTCTTAACTCCAAGATAGGTTATGTAAAGCTTATAAAGGAAATCCTGATAAGGTATTACCTGATAATAAGGTAATACCCGATAAGGTTATTAGAAGCATGAAAATGCAGGAAGGGAAAGAAAGAATAGGAGATGACCAGATGAACATAGAGGCAGCAAAGGAGACAAGACGCAAGAGTAGCTGGCAGGAGCTGATCAAAGCTGGCAGGCAGGGTCTGCAGCTGGTATATTCACTATGCTAAGAGTTGATTGGCTGGAGAAAGAAAAGATTGCCCTGTAACTCCTTTCAGCTTGAGAGATGAAAAACTTTAGGGGTTTGCATGGGTTGTCCTAATCCAGGGGTGGGGAACCTGAGACCTTGAGGCCACATGTGGCCGTCTATGTCCTCAAGTGCAGCCCTTTGATGGAATCTATGTCAATAATCTATCTTATTTGACAGAATTTGTCAAATTCTAAGCACATAGGTCTCCCTATTCATGTGCCTCCTTGCTAAAGGTTTTGTAAGTATGTGCTCAGTCTCCCCAACTAGCATCATGCATTGGTGAGAAAGTGTGGCCCAAGTTTACGCGTGGGCTGCTATGTTAGTCATTTCTGCTTCTGCTTTTATTGAGTAAAAGTGATTATCTTGCTTTCTGTTGAGTAAATGTTATTATGCATGCTTTTGCCTTCTATTGAATACATTTTCTGATTATTCTTGCTTTTGCCTTGTCATTTAACAAAAGTTTTATCTTTAAGAGTTAATGGTGTTGTGGTGTTTGATTTTGTGTAAATTGTACTCACCAATGCTGGACTCAGGAGCTACAGTGGGGATGTATATCCCCCAACACATAAACTAGGGCCATCCCTAGCACTTTGAGAATCCACAGCTGGTAATAGAACCTGTTGAACTGGCTTCAGGTGGAGTGAATGGGTCTAGCTCAGGAAAAGAGAGAACCTAGAGAGAATTGAGGGAATCAGTGCCATTCTCAGGCAATATGTGGTGGTCCCACCCAGGATTTACTGGGGTGCCCTTTGTTCTGGCAGGAATTCACTAAATTATCCATTTAGGACTTATTGGATACCCTAGCGACATGGAAATCCACTAGAGAAATATTTGAATATTTTTAGGGGGCAGTTTTTTGGCATCTTACTTTATAAAGAGACCATTTATGAGATGCTTATAGGATCACGAATTTACAGCTGGAAGGGATCATGTAAGTCCAACACTCACTCATTTTACACATAAGTAAACTGAGGCAGAGTTTAAGTTGCCCAGAGTCACACATGTCCAAGGTGGGATTTGAATCCAGATTTTCTTGATTTCAAGTTTTGCACCTACTGTAACTACTGCAATGATGCTACCTCTCATAGGCACGAACAAGAGTTGCACAAGATAGGAAGGTATGGATTGGTTGTAACTTGCACCAGGGGAGAGTACCTACATTGGGGAGATCACAAATCCACTGAAAGACACCCTCCCAAAGCTAATCTTTCCCCCTACTCTAGAGCCACCTCTCCTTTCCCCATCCCTTGCTCCTTTAATTGTTCCCTGTCACCTTCAATCTCTTTTCTCACTAATTCTTTCCTTTGGTCTAAAAAATTCTGCCTCATTATCCTTATACAGAAAATTCCCTTCTGTTGAATGCCTGGATTCTTCTGGCTCCTGTTCCTTTGCCCCCTTAATCCAGCATCTTTCCTGAAATACACGACCTACCTCAATTTTCTCCCTTCTGTTTCATCCCCTGCAATCCAGCTTCTTGCCTGAACCGGCCCCTCCAAAGCCACAGATGACTGACATGAATGGCCCCCTCCCAGGACTCAGGTTTAAGGAATAAAGCCCTGCCCTGGCTTGTAGGGAATCTGTTACAACGGGAATAAGAAACAGCCTGAGGACAGACTAAGAATAGCGATAAGGAAGGGAGGAGAGGTTCTTCCTCTCTGCTAAAAGGCCTTAACATCTTCAGAGTCCCTAGGAAGCTGGTCTGGGGATCAGGAAGCTTGCTTGCGACAGGATGTTAAATTCTCATCCCTCTGGACATCCAGTCCAGATAGACATAAGACATCCAAATGGAGCTATGTAAGAAGCCTAGTGCTGCCGCCTTATGGTCATGTCTGGAAACGCAGCCACTTTCATGGAGGACAAGCACATCTGTGCTGCCACCTTCTGGTCACAGAGGGCATCACATCCGTTTCAGCAAAGCCTCAGCCTAGTGGGGCTACCATTTTTTTTGCAGTTATTTTCCCACTGCACTTCAACGTTATCCGTAGGCAGCGTGATGTAGTGGCATGTGCACTGGACTCTGAAAACTGTGTCCTCTCCTGTAAAGTGGGGATAATTACTGCCCTGCCTACCTCACAGGATGCACGAGGACCACCTAAACTTTCTAGTGCAGTGCTCTGCACACAGCAGGCACTTAATGGTTGTTGAAGGTGCTTTAAAAACCATAAAGGGCTGCTGTTGTTATGTACAGCATGCAACTAGAATATAAAAGGTGTGTAAAAGCAAGCTAGGAAAAGGGGCACTGCCCCACTTTATTTATTGGCTAATTGTCTGTTAGGATCTCCATCCCTCTTGCCCCTGGGCCAGGCAGACCCCCAAGAACTGGTTTCAATCCTGGGTTTGCTCCTCATCCGTCTTGCACCTGGCAAATCAGGTCTCAAGGCCTCCCACTAGCAGATCTGCTGCCACCAGCAGGGCAGTCAGTGCTGCAGTCAGTCTTAAGAGCAGCATCTTGTGATGTCTTCAGTCAGGCCGAGCCCCAGCCAGTGATACAAGGTCGTAGGGTAGCCAAGGAGATGAGGATGGCTTCCTGGAACAGAAAAGAGTGGAAAGATCTAATTTGGCAGTACTGAGAAGCAGAATCCAGGTTCCCGGATCTCCAGTACAGGAATCATCCCCCTTATCATTCCCATAATACCCCTCTTAATGTATAATAATATGTTCAGGAGATGGCAATATTATCCTTTTGGGGAATAACCCCACACATGGAAGGAACCATCTTTCTGGAATGTGTCCAGTTTCTACCTAATAACCTCTTTAGTCACAGTTCCAAATTTGTAAAATGATGGGGTCAGACTCATTTCTAAAGGATCTCCTCATTCTAACATTTAATATTCTATGACTTCATCTTTCCATTTACAGCCAAGGGCACCAGCTTCAGATGGGCAAAGAACACCTGGGGAGGTAAAAGGCAATGATAAAAGGAGAAAGGAACCTGCCACACACCCCACCCCAGCTGCTGCTAGAGCTTCAATGTTCCAGAAGAGTACCAAGAGATGCAGGCCGATCTGCCCAGTGGAAAAGGAGGCAAGAGGAATTCTTCAGGGGAAAGCGTTTTCTGGACAGTTTCAGGGTTCAGCCCTGGCCAGTGGGAAAGGAAGTGGTGTCATAGGAAGGTGGGAGCCACGGGAGAAAGGTCACTAGGATTCTTACCTCCGTACGAATGGTGCGGCTGCCCTGTCCTGGACAGGTGTTGAGATAGAAGTCAAAGAGAACACTAGGATCTGTGACCTCTAGGTTGGGATCGGCCTCAACACCAGCCTCTAAACCCTGGAGGCCCCCAAACACCACAATGGCATGGCTTGAAGGAGAGAAAAAAGAGATGAGCAGAGAGCAGGGGAAGGTGAAAGTGGGTGCTCAAATTGGGGTGTTCACAACACTTCCAATGTTTGTTCAAATTTTATTCTGCCTCCACAGCCCAGCTGACATGCCACCCCTCCCTTCAGGAAGCCTCTTTAGCCATCCTGAATTTCTAAAGCACAACACAAATGGCTACAGGCCTCACACGTGTAACCTCTACACTGACAAAAAGAAGGCTCTGGGAGACCAAGCTCACTGCAGCCCCCGAGTATCCGCAGGGCTGTCGGGTGGAAAAAGGACGGCCTGCTCAGCTTGGGCCTAGAGGACAGAACTAGGAGCTCTTGGTGCAAACTATCGTGAGGCCGACTTTGGCTTATAAGGAAAAACTCATCGGGAAGAGGTAGACAGTGGTTCCACGGATCAGAGCTCTTAAGTTGTTCAAAGTTGTTTGTCTTTAAAAAAAAAAAAAAACATGTGGCAGCTAGGTGGTAGAGTGGATAGAGCACCAGCCCTGGAGTCAAGAGGACCAGAATTCAAATCTGACCTCAGACACTTGACACTTACCAGCTGTGTGACCCTGGGCAAGTCACTTAACCCTGATTGCCTTGTAAAACAAAAAAACAAAAAAAAAGAGAAGATAGTGGGTTCTCCATCCCTGGCATTGTCCAGACAGACTAGAGGAATACTTGGCAGGGATACTGCAGATGATTTCTCTTCAGGCATGTATCAGACCAGCTGGCCTGTGGGGAACCTCCTAATTGTGAGGTTCTGTCATCCAGGTCACTTCACCTCCCCAGCTGGGTAATAAAGTCCGTCAGAGGCACAGACTATATATTCTCTGGCCTATCTCAGAGCTGGGCACACAGCAGGTAGCTGTAACAATGGATAACTAATTCGAGTCCTCCTCCTGGGGTGGAGGCCCATGACCTTGGTGGTGATAGGATGAGGGGCAGAATGGGTACGGAGATAACTCCAACTTTCTGCATTTGGGGTGGATAAATAAGAGGGAAAGGAACAACAGTGACCTGAGCTCCGCAACATTAGCCAATTTCCTAGCTCCTTGGTCTCTTTCTTCCTCTGACATATCATTCCCCACCCACCCCTTGGTGCTTCCATATTTGACGGTAGCTCACTTGAAGCTGGGAAGCTGGACTGAGGCCAGATCCTCCCCTCGCTCTGAGGTTCCAATGGTCAGGTCATAGCCGTCCTTATAGGGACCCTCAGCAAACACCGCACCTGGAGAGAAGAGCCCAGCTTAGCAGAAACTGGAGATACAGCTCAGGCAACCTGTTCTCCCTTCCACTCTGAGAAGAACACCTAATTCTGAGACCCACTTTTTGGTGGTGCCTATCCTGGGCCAAGAGGAAAAACTTAAAACCACTGGATATTACAGCTGGAAGGGAAGCTAGGTGGTGAAATCAATAAGAGTTCTGGGCTTGGAGTGAGGAAGACCCCAGTTCAAATCAGGCCTCAGACACTTTCTGTGTGACCCTAGGCAAGTCACTTCACCCTGTTTGCCTCAGTTTCCTCATCTGCAAAATGAATTGGAGAAGGAAATGGCAAACCACTCTAGGATCTTTGCCAAGAAAACCCCAAGTGGGGTCACAAAGAATTGGACATGACTGAAACAACTGAACAAGTCTAGGGGTTCTTAACCTAAAGTTTTGTGAATCTTTTAAAAAATATCTTAACTACTTCAATATAATTGGTTTCCTTTGTAACAAATATTATTCTGAGAAGAAATCCACAGGCTCAACCAGTCTGCCAAAGGGGCCTGCAACACTTAGGTTAAGAACCCAACTTGGTCAAACCCTCTCATTTTACAAATAAGGAAACCAAGGTCAACAGAAGAAGGTTGACTTGTCCAGGTCAAACAGCTTGTAAATAACCAAATTCAGATTCAAACCCAGGTCTTTTGACTTCAATCCTTCTACTGTACAAAGAAGGGCCTTAAAAATCTTCCAGTCCACCCCCCCACCACCAAATTTTACAAATGGGGACAGAGACCCAAAGCTGGGAAATGATCTGTCGTAGGTCCCACAAAGGTAAGAGGCACAGCCAAGACTAGACTTGGAAAAGCCTCCCGGCTGGCAGGCCCACTAGCCGATGGCCCACTTTGGGCAGGGGGTCAAGGACTCACTGAGGCAGGAGGCCAGGCGGACGCTGTAGCCCCAGTAGAGACCAGCATGCGTGCGGGGCTCCTGGCTTGATACGACTCGTCCCTTAAGGCTCTTGCTCTCTGCAAGGGAAGAAGGAAGGAGACTGAGGAGACTATGGGACCCAAAGAACATACAAAAATGTAGAAAAGGCACAGTTTTAGTGTTCATCCAACAATCAGTGATTAAATGCCCATTATATACTAGGCAGTGGGGACACAAAAATGAAAACGTCCTTAAGGAGCTTATTGTCTAACAGGGAGAAGCTAGTACGTATGATATGTAGGTGAAATATGACAGAAGCAAAGGAGATGCAGACAAATTGAGGAGGAAAGTTACACTTTCAGCTGGGAGTCAGCTTTATCCTAAGTAGGGACTCCTCAAGGCCCTTGGGTCCACCTTCAGGAGAGGGGCTGGGGTGGGGGAGCAGGATACCTGGGATCTGCTGCTGGTCCAACCGCACAGTGACTCTCAAACCAGGTTCCAGGTTCTTGTCTATCTGCACCTCCTATGGAAGGAAGAGGATGTGTCTGGGCCTGAGCAAGGAATCTCCTCCATTCCCACCCCAAGAAAAGACCTGAGAATATTAGGTATACCTACTGGAGTCAAGAAGCATTTATTAAGCTCCTACTATGTGCAAGGCATTATGCTAAGCTATTGAAGGCCACAATCCTCCAGGCCTGGGGCCCCAGGCAGGGTACCTTTTTCATGCCACAGTTGACGAAGGAGCCTCGTCCAGGCCGAGTAGGCCTGTCTAACACAATCCCTTCCCGGTACTCCAAAACCTCCTCCTGCCGCACATGGTGAGGACTATCTAGGGGATTTAGCAGCCCTAAGGAAAGAGAAGAAGAGAGCTGAAGGTGGTCACAAGATACTAGGAGAGACTCCAGAGAGCACTGTGGGATGGAGGAAAGGGCCTAGGCCTGGGGGGGGGGGGGTGTCAAGAAACCTGGGTGCTAGTCCTTGCTTGGTCACTTTTGAGCTATGTGATTGGGGAAAAAGTCAGAGAATGCCACAGATAAAAAAACTTTGAAGACCAAATGGTCAAACATGCACATTTTAACCAAGGAGGAAACTGAGGCTCACGATGAGGGAAGTGAATGAAGATGGCATCTGCTCTCCATGACTTTGACTTGCCCAAGATCAAACATGTAAACTTTCCCAACCTTCCCTTAGTAAATCCACCTAATACCTATCATTTGAATTCTAGTAACAATTCTTCACATTTACACAAAACTTTAAGGTTTACAAGGAGTTTTCCTCACAAGCCTGTAAAAATACTGTTAAGTATTATCATCCATCTTCCCTTTACAGATGAGGGAACTAAGGTTCAGAGAGCTGAAATGGATTTGTGCAGGGTTACACAAGGAACTTGGGTGAGGGAGGGGCAGAACAGGAGCTCAGGCCTTTGGACTACAGGATAAATGTTCTTTCAGACAAGGCTACAGGGACAGAGGGTGGGGGAAAACTTAAGAGCAGGAGTGATGACACCGAAGATAAGGGAACACAGCTGAGTTCTTACCTGCAAACTGCAGATCCTGGTGTTTGGGGAAGAAGGCTTTTCTCAAGTACCTAGGACACAGTTCTCCTCAGTGAATTAATTCCCAGAGGAGAATTTCCCCTCCAGTTCAGTCCCAAGCACTTTCCCTCCTCCTGGCCCTGCTCTCCAATCCTCCCTTTCCCCCTTTTCCATTCTGGGTTTGGGACCCAGGGACCTTCCCCCAACCCCAGCAAAAGGTGGGGGGATTCTCTGAGGAGAGACTTTCTACCTTCCACTCCTGCTTCCTCTTCCCCCTTCCCCCAGACCAAATTTCTTCTTACTGTGGACACTCCAAGTATTGGAGAATTCGAGCCAGCTGCACCGAGGCCTGTCCTTTTTTGCCAATGCCAACAAATTCCCCCTCAACACTCCTGGAAGGGGATGAAGGGTTAATTGACTCAGACGCTCAGCTCTTCCAAATACTTCAGAAGCAGCTGGCCTCGTGGGCAGTAGGAAAAGAGTAATCTTCCTGCCTTCTCTGCCCAGGGAAGGGGCCTGAGTTCCCCTTTCATTTGACTAGAAGGTTCTGCGATTCTGGGTCCTGACCTCCACAGGGCCACCTGTATGTGCTGAGCAGGCAAAGGCCCTCTTTCCCCACCTGTTTCTCAACACTGCCCCCTCCTCCCTAGCCTGGGGATCTCCTTACTTGACATCTTCACCCTCTTCATCAAACACCACAATCTCATCCACACAGAAGATGGCACAGGCCCGGGCAATCTGGCCAGCCAGATAGGTGCGAAGCTCCAGAGACTGGGCATTGTTGAGGATGGAGCCAGGGAGGGCCACACTCAGGGTATAGGATCGCCCTGGAGGAGCCAAAAAAGGGACATGACTCTCCATGATTTATACAGTGAACATTCCTGAACTGGGCCTAGAAACTAGATCTGAAACCTCGCCTCAGGGCTCTTTCCCCAGCACCCCTCCTGCCTCATTCAACCTGCAGGACTGCACGCATCAAGGCTGCCTTCTTTCCATTCCAGACCCTCCTCCAAACCTCTTTCTGGGGGTCCTGCTCACAGTTTACTATGCCACTGGAAAGGTGTTAATTACTGAAAATGCCTCCAAGGATTTTTTTTTTAGCAGAGGACAGTTTCTTAACGTAGTTGTTCTAGAAACTCACGTTCTAATCCTGGCTTTACTAACTTGCTGTGTGACCTCGGTGAATCACTTTTCCCTCTCTTGGCATTGGTTTCCTCTCCTGTAAAATGCAGGGATTGGCCTAGATTCGAATGTCCCTTTCACATTCTGATAGGCTATGCTTTCATGATTTTCTAATGGTGGAATATGACACATGTTGACCAGTGAGTACAAGAGGGGTCGTGGTGATGGCTGGTTTGTGATTGTGTGGCGCCCCTCAAATCACAACTGGATGTGACCCCTGAACAACCTGTCCACATCTCCAAAAGGAGACACCAGCTGCCACAGGCCTAGTGTGAATAAGAAAAAGTCAACGGAACTAAAGAACAGACCCCTGGGAGATACCGTTTGTTTGCTTTTGTGTTTCCTCAGCTTCCTCTCTCTGCTTCTCTGCCTCCTCCTGAGCACGCTGCTTCTCCAACTTCTTTATCATCTTTAGCTCTCTCCATTTCTTCTTCTCTTCTTTCCCTGGAAGAAAGATCTTCAAATGAGGGATGGGGATGATCGGATAGGTTTGGGGTGGGGACAGAGGTAGATTGGCCTGAGGGTAGCACTTCTGAAAGCAGGGGGACATGGGAAAATCCTAAGGGAGATAGAGAAAATGGAACAAGTTCCAAATTATGTAAATTCTGTGGATTACAAAAATTCACATTTACATAGTGCTTTATAGTTTGCTTTCTTTGAGATGGAAGGCTTAAACATAATTATCTCTTTTACAAGTGAGAAAACTGAGACTCTGAAAGATTCAGTGACTTGTCCATTAACACAGCTAGAATACGTTTGAGTCAAGACTCAAACTCAAATCTGGAGACTCCCCAGCCCAGTAGTTTCCCCACTATATCATGTTGCCTATCAAAGATTTAAAATTGGCTTAAAAACGAAATGCTGACAAAATGTAAAAAAATCAAGGATACATAAAAATAACTTCAATAAAATAAATGAAACCTTTAGCACATTTTTTTAAACAAACCCACAATGGTTTTGTTAAACCTATGAAGCCTGCATGAAATTCCCTAAGCGAATACCAGATGACTTATCTAACACTTAGGTTTTCTGAAATTATAAAAAAAAGATCTAAAAACCTAATTCATTCACCCACAAATTTTTATAAATATTTGGCTACTTAATCCATCTTGGAGAAGATGGGAGACAAGAAGACATCAGGTATTCTATAAGGTTGTTAGCTTGGCCCCATTCCCACTCTTTCTCCCCTCCCCATCCTTTTCTTCCTGGGCCTTAAGAACAATTGCTACACAGATATTTTAGATGGCTACTGTCCCACAGCCATTACAGACAGCGATCTTCCTGTGGCCATACTCCCGTACTTCAGACTCTGGTCCTGGGACTCAGGGCTTCCAGCTGATGACATTAATCAAAAGCAGCCTACACCAGCCCTAGCATGTTTATCATTGCCTGATTCCAGGTCATCTTCAAGCATACCCTGCCCATCTTTCTAACATTAAAACCAGTAATCTAATCGACACTGCCAAAAAGCACTCCTCCCTGTTCACCACTCCCCCTCAGTGTAGTCTTGTCCAATTAGACTGAACCTTCTTGAGAGCAGGGCTTATCTTGCTGGTATGTTCAGTGATAAGCATACTGCTTGGCACACTTAGATCTCTTAGTAAATGTTTTTCCACTCATCTATTGCAGAAGGGGGTGGGGGTGGGGGGCTATGGGCGTGATACATTGTCAGACTTGGTTATGTTGGTCAGTTTTGCTGAAATGCTTTCTTTGTTACAAAGGATGGCTCTTAGGGGAAGGAAGGGAAGAGGTAAATATTTGGAACAGATGGTGATGCAAAACCAAAAGGTAGTAATAAAAATTAAAATAAAAAAATAATGAGAGGTTAAACACCACCAAAAGGTCTACGCACAGAAGCAGTTTGGTAGAATGTTAAGACCACTGTAGTTTGTTGGGAAACTTTGGTGGGGTCATTTCCCCTGCTAGAACCTCAGTTTTCTCCTCTGTAAAATGAGGGTTAAGACTAAAATATCTTTAAGGTTTCTTGCAGCTCATAAGTTCCAGTGTTCTACAGGATGCCAAGAGAGTGATGAGAGTGACGCTACGCCTAGAAACTAATTAGAAACATTAAAAACCAACCACCCTAAATTACTCCTGCCCTCGAGGTCCTTACTCTCTTTCTTCAATTTCCGCCACTCGATTTTTCGTACTTCTCCCTGGAAAGGAAGCAGATCAGTGACTGAGCCTTCACGCCATTCACCCCTCCACTCAGACAGAAGCTGAGCCTGGATGCTGGCCGAACCGTGCCCGGACCCCGGACCCCGGACCCCGGACCCCGGACCCCGGACCCCGGCCAGGTCCGCGCCCGGCCCTGCACCGCGCTGAGCCAGACCCCCTTCTGCAAATCGCCCCCGGCACCCTCGCAGCTCCGCGCCGCTGCGGGAAGGCCACACGTGGGGCCCCGGGGGTCATCTACAGCCCCCAAGAAAGCAGGCCCGCTAGAAGATCCTCTGCAGTGCGAGCCGCCTCCTACGGGCCGTGCGGCCCCACGAAACCCAGGACCCTGCCGGCCCACCAGCCCACCTGGGCCCGGGGCCGCTTTCCCACCAGCTCCGCCATCTTCTACGCAGAACCTCAGTAGCCCCGCCCCCCAGCCAATCGGCGGCGAACACTGCAGACCACACCCCCTCTTCATTCAGCCGTCCAATCAGGGAGCTCGAGGTGAGCGCGGGGTGGGGGGGGGGACGCACCGGGTCGGAAGAGCACGTGGCACGGAGCCAGAGGCTTACCTGTTGTGTTTCAGCTACTCTGAGCTGCTCCAGCTGGAGGCCTAGGCTTTGCCCGCGTCCCCGTCCCAAACCACCCCCAATCTGCCTTGCGGAATAACTTTGCTTTGTATTTGTACACAGGGTCGGAATTAAACCCCAGAGTACTGATTTTTCTCATTTCCTTCTCTTTCCAGCTCGGTGGAAGTAGACTCCGGATTGTCATCCCATTTCACCGGTGAGTCAGCCGAGGCCCAGAGAAGGGAGGCAAATTGTCCAAGGTCACACAGGGTGAAATTAGTGTTTGAGCCTTGACTGGAAGCTAGGTCACATGACTCCTAGCCTACCCTGCCTCGAGCAGTGCTGGGACTTTGCACTATATAAAAGTATTATTCTTCTGCTAGGTTTCCTGCCAAGCTGCGTCCTGGTGCGGCTGTGACCATGACTTCATGATGTTCTCCTGCCCTACAGAGTGCAAGTTTGGAGATCTGGGATCAGGCTAATTTTAGCAAATTTTGATAGATTCTGACATGTCAGAGCCCAGTGACCTTTCCAGGCCTACCCAAGTAAATTTGGAGGGACTTATCCATCACCCTAGGGTCACCCACCAGGTGCCAGGGTACAGCTACAGCAGTTTTTTTTTTTTATTTTTTTTGGCTAGGCAGTGGGATTAAGTGAGTTGCCCAGGCTCACGCAGCTAGTAAATGTTATGTGTCTGAGGCCAGATTTGAACTCAGGTACTCCTGAATCCAGGGCTGGTGCTCTATCCACTGTGCCACCTAGCTGTCCCTGTTCAGCAGTTATTAAGACAGACTGCTAAAGTCTGAAGATTGCATTCTGCATGAGTGCAGATGAAGCAATGAGTCCTTCAAGTATACACAATATATTAACAAGGTTGTTTTCTTGGTGGTCAGTCTTTTTAGACAGAGCAAACAGGGGAGGACTACTTACTAAGGCATAGAAGAAGGAGTTGAAATCAAGAAGGACTGAGGTATTCTCCTCAGACCAGTGATCTCTTTTCTTCACTGTCTTCTGGTCCAGCCTACACCTGGAACATTTGTGAATGTTTATATGGGACTTTCCATTTTTGAGTGTTACACATGCATGAAGGAACAGAGGGATAGTTGGTGAAAGGATGAGAGGGGGTCAGAACATGAACTGGTTTAGGTAAGGTAAGCATAGGCCTAGGTCAGCTTATTAGGCTGGAGCTTTGGGAAAGAAGCGTCTGAGGATCAGGTCACATAGAGTTGTATAACATAAAAAAATACATAAATAGCCTCTGTGGCAGTGGTGTCAAACTAAGAAACAAACAAAATGATAATACAAATCATTAAACATTTATTAAGTGCCTTTTACCTGCCAGGCACCGTGCTAAGCCCTGGAGATAACAAAAAAAGAGGCAAAAAAGCAGTTCATGCCTTCAAGGAGCTTACAATCTAATGGGGGAGACAACATGCAAATAAATCTATACAGGATAAATAGGAAATAATTAACAGAGGGAAGGCACTGGAATTAAAAGAGGTTAGGATAGGCTTCCTGTAGAAGGTGGGCTTTTAGTTGGGACTTAAAGGAAGCCATGAAGGTCAGTAGTCAGAGTGGAAGAGGGACATCATTCCAAGCTGGGGGACAGCCAGAGAGTATGCTTTGAGCTAAGAGATAGAGTGTCTTGTAGAACATTGACAAGTCCAGTGTCACTGGATCTGGATTGAACAGTTATGTGTTGGGGAGTAAGGTGTAAGACTAAAAAGGTAGGAGGGGTCTAGTTATGAAGGGTTTTGAACACCAAAGGGGATTTTGTATTTGTGCCTGGAGGCAATAGGAAGACTTTTGAGTTTATCAAGTAGGGGGGCAGGGGTGACATGATTGGACCTCCACTTTAAGAAAATTACATTAGTGGCCAAATGGAGAATGGATTGGACTGGGAAGAGCTTTAAGACAGACAGACCCACCAGCAGGTTAGTGCTATAATCCATGTGTGAGGTGATGACTGCTTGCACAGTGGAAGTGTCAGAGGAGAGAGGAGAGATGTTACAAAGGTGAAGTGGATAGATCTTTGCACCAGCTTGGATATGGGGTGGGGAGGAACCCAGGATGGCTTCTAGGTTGGGATCCTGATGGCCTGGGAGGATAGTGTTGCCCTCTATAGTAATAGGGAAGGTAGGAGAGGAGAAGGGTTTAGAGGGAAAGATAGTAAGTTCTGTTTTGAACATATTGAGTTTAAGATGTCTACTGGATGACCGGTTCAAGATATCTGAAAGGCAGTTAGAGATTCCAGATTGGATGGGAAATTAGAGGTCAGCTGAGAGATTAGAGCAGGATATATAAGCAGCATAGATGCTGACAATCATCAGAGTAGAGATGGTAATTAAATCTGTGGGAGCTGATGAGATCTTGAAGTGAAGTAGTATAGAGGAAGAAGAGAAGAGGCCCCAGAACAGAACCCCGAGGGACACCTATAGCTCAGGGCTTCTTAAACTCTTTCCACTTGCGACCCTGGGTATATAGGTATATAAAATAGGTATACAAATCAAACATTTACTGATAATAAATCATAAAGAAATTTATTTTAAAACAATTCTTTGGTATACATATAATTTTACTATCTATTTAATACATTTGCATACTAATGAGATGGATATGCTTGTTTATTTTTACATAAATAATTAAATCTTGGCAGAATATTTGATACTGCAGGACGTGGAACATCTTCACCATTTTTCAGAGTTGATCAATATTTTGATTTTATAATCGTCAATACTAAGAATGCTGCTACACATAAATATGTAGTACAAAATGACAAGAAGTTGTATTTAGGGTCATTTCAGAAATTGTTGGAAATTCAGTCCTAATCCCAAGCCAAAATTCATTTAATGATTATTTTTAGGAAACTTAAGTTTTAAACCTGTGTTGCTTGATAACTTGGCAAATTCTTCTTGAACTTTTAATGGTAGATGACTACCTTTTTTTTATTTCAATTGAGTATGGTTTATGAACCCAACTTAGTTTCTTAGAATCAAAATTTGAAGAGAAGTATTTCTGAAACTGTTGTCTCCAGGAACTTCAGATGATCAATTATAACTCTTAAAATCAAATCCTTGGGAAGGTCATTTTCAATTATAAAATCATCTGTAGCTGTAAAGATTTCTAAATAACCATTTTCTACCCTGTTCTTCCATATGTTAACTTTTTTTAGTAAAACTTTCAATTTTATCTTTTAACATAAATATATTACAATTTTTCCTTGAAGTGACATGTTTAAATCATTGAGTTTTTCCAAAGTGTCCGACAAATAACAGTTTTGAAAGCCATAAGTCATTATGAAAAAAATTAACAAAATCAGATTTCTGCTCAGTCAGTTATATAAAAATATAACTACTTCATCTTTCAGTTTCAATAATCTGTTTAAACTTCACCCTCTTGAGAGCCACCTTACTTCTCTACATGTAGTAATACACTTTTGTAATTGGAGTCCATGTCTTTCCAAAGATTTGAAAACAAACGACTGTTAAAAGCATGGCTTTTTTTTTATTAATTTATTTTGATTTATCAACAATCACTTCCATAAGCTTTTTGAGTTTTAAATTTTTGTTTCTTCCCTTTCTAAGATGGCACACAATCTGATATAGGCTCTACATATACATTCCTATTAAAACATTTTCACATTAGTCATGTTGTAAGGAAGAATTAGAACCAATAGGAGGAACCACAAGAAAGAGGAAACAAAACGAAACAGAAAGAAAAAAATAGCAAATAGTATGCTTGGATCTGCATTCAAACTCCATAGTTCTTTCTTTGGATGTGGATAGCATTTTCCATCATGAGACTTTTGGAGAAGTCTTAGGTAAAGGCATGGCTTTTAATGAAGTTGATGATTTTGCTAGTATCATGAAGCACGACATCTAACTCTGATGATTTTTTTGGCTCTTAAGTGCTTCCTCTTGGATCACGCAGTGAGTAAAAGTGATATGTTCATTGCCACAAGCTTTAATTTTTGCTACAAATCCTGCATTCTTGCCCATCATTGCTCCAGCACCATCTGTACAGACTCCAATGCAATTTTTCCACTGTAAACCTTCATTTGGGAAAAATTCATAACTTTAAGATATATATCTTCCCCTCTTGTGGGCTCTTCCAAAAGGTGACAAAACAATAATTCCTCATATATGCTTCCTTCATAAACATAACTTACATAAAGTAACAACTGTGTCATGTTAGAAATATCAGTTGTTTCATCTAACTGAATTGCAAACTTTGGGCTGCACTTAAGCCTGGTAATAAACTGCTGGAATTGGTCATTACTAATTTCAGAAATTCTTTTGTAAACAGTATCATTCAATAAAGGAATTTTATGAATTTCATCTCCATTCTTTTCCCCATGAACTATTTCTGACATTTTAATAGCAGCAGGTAACATGAGATTTCTTATCACATAGTGCTTTTTCGTCTTGGCAATTAAATAAGAAATTTCATAAGATGCAAGTAAATACTTTTTGTTGACAGTAACGAATTTCTCCAAACATCTGATTCTTACATGCTAAGGAATGATAGTAGGAAAATAGTAAGTGTCTTTATTTTCTGTAATTAAACTATTATGTTTCTGTAAGAGCAAAAACTTGGTATGCACAAAACTTATATTGACTTAGAAAACCACATATTAATATTATCCATGTTTTATTGTGTTAAATATTTTCCAATAACATTTGTATATTGAAATGTTTGTGTTCATTGATGATTAAATTCACAATATAAAACCTATTTTAAAAAAAGTCCCTCGGGGCAACTAGGCGGTACAGTGGATAGAGCACCGGCCCTGAAGTCAGGAGGACCTGAGTTCAAATCCGGCCTCAGACCAAACACATGACACTTACTAGCTGTGTGACCCTGGGCAAGTCACTTAAACCCAATTGCCTAAAAAATTTAAAAAAAAATTAAAAAATAGTCCCTCTCAGAGGGACCATTTAAGTTGGGGGTTGCAGGATTATAGATTTAAAGCCGGAAGAAATTGTGGAGGGCATCTAGTCCAGTCTTCTTATGTTACAGATGAGAAAACTGGGACCTAACATGGTTAAGTGACTTGCCCAGTATCACAAAAATAGAAATAACAATAATAATAGTAGTTAACATTTATATAGTGCTTACTATGTGCTTACAATTATTATCTTATTTATCCTCACAACCATACTGGGAGGTAGGTTCTATTATTATCTCCATTTTACAGATGAGGAAACTGAGGCAAACAGTGGGTAAATAATTTGCCCAGGGTCACACAAGTAAAAAGTGGCAGAGCTACTTCAACCCATTACCTTAGTTCTTTTAAAAATATTTATTAATCTGTCACTGCTATTAACTATCCTAACCCCCCATCCCACACATTGAGAAAAACAAAACAAAACAAAACAAAAAATAAAGCCCTCAGTGGCTTTGTCCCACGAAACAAATTCCCACATTGGAAATGTCTGAAAATGTATGTTTATACATTTTAAGTTCATCACCCCTGTCAGGAGGCAAATGGCGTATTTCATCTTTATTCTTTTGGATTCATGGTTTATCATTGCATCATTCAGGGTTCTTGCAGTCTTTCAAAGTTATTTTTTTTTCATAAGATTGTTGTCATTATATAAATTGTTCATTCCATCCTACTTCATTTCCTTCCAGTTTCCTCTGAAACTATTCATTTCATCATTTCAGTAACTTTTTGTTCATAGATCTAAACTGCCTTGAAGAATGGTTGGACCAATTAATTCATAGCTCTACCGACTCTGCACTACGAGTATACCTATTTTTTCACAGACCCTCCAACATTTGTCATTTTCCTTGTTTGCCATCTTTGTCAGTCTGATGGGTGTGAGGTAGAACCCCAAAGCTGCTATTATTTACATTCTGCTAATTATTAGTGGGGCATTTTTTTTACGATTGTTGCTAGCCTGCCTTTGAAAACTGCCTGTTCATGCCCTCTGACCACTGTTGGAGAATGGCTCTTAGACTTATAATTTTGAATCAATTCCTTTTATATTTTGGATGTGAAACCTTTATCAGAGAAACTTGCTGCATAGATTTCCCCCTCCCCAGTTGCCTGTGTTCCCCTTGAGTTTCACTGTGTTAAATTTGTTTGTGCCAAAATGTTAAAAGTTTATGTAATAGAAGTTGTCCATTTTATTTTGTGTGATCCTCTGTCATTTCTTTAGTTACCAACTCTTCCCCTATCCATAGATCTTGAAGGTAATTTCTTTCTTTCTCCACTAAGTTGTTTCTGATGTGACCTTTCATATTTAGATCATGTATCCATTTGGCTTATCTTGGTGTAAGGTATAAGGGGGTGATCTAAATTTAATTTCTGCCAGCCTGCTACTGTCCACTTTCCCCGCCAGTTTTTTGTTGAATAGTGAATGAATTTTCCCCCAGTAACTGTGATCTTGGGCTTATGCTCCCTGAGTGTATTTAATTCTGTATGTTGTGCACCTAATCTATCCCACTGATCAAGTTCTCTCCTTTCTTTTTTTAACCAATAACAAAACATTTTCATACTCCTTTAATACTTGCAATAGCCTGATGATTAGCATCCCATCATAAGTGTCACCTCACTCCAGTCCATCCTCCACTCAGCTGTAAGAGTAATCTTTCTATAACACCCTACTTAAAAAACTCCAGTGACTTCTTATCACTATCAGGATCTGATATAAAATACAGTTATCCCTTCCTCATCGTGACTTTCCCCATCAAGGTTTCGATATATCAAGGGTTAGCATAAGAAATTAAATGAGAATTTTGGGGAAGTTTTACAGATGCCAAAGATGACGTTTGAAGGCCAGCAGATGACACAGAAAAAGTTTAGAAACTCAGAAATGCATAAAATATATCTATAGTATTGTATAATATCAACTTATTTTATCTTTTAATATCATAATAATTCAGACTTCTCTGGTATGAAGGGAAAGCCAAACAATTTTACAGATTTTCCAGATTGAGAGGGCGCCTCATTCCAACCCCCAAGATGTGGAAGGGATAACTGTATTCTGGCTGGCATTCAAAACTTTTCACAACCTGCCTCCTGCCCATTTCCAGCCTTCTTACACCTCATACCCTCGCCCCCAACTTGATCCCGTGTTATTGGCCTCTTTGCTATTCCTCAAACAAGAGACTTCAGGCGTGTTGTCTGGTTGTCCCTCATGCTTGGAATGTTCTCCCACTTCATCTTTGCCTCCTGGCTTCCCTGGGTCCTTTCATGCCTCAGCTAAAATGCCTCCTTCTGCAGGAAGAAAAGCTTTCCTCATCCCCCTATCTCCAATTTATCCTTTTAATATCTTTTTGTTCATAGTTGTTTGCATGTTGTCTCCCCCATTAGACATCCCTTGAAATCAGAGATTGCCTTTTGTGTTTCTGTGTATCCCACAGTTAACACTGTGCCTGACGCATAGTAGGCACTTAAATGTTTATTGACTGTGTTGTAGTACAGTTTGAAATCTAGGGATGATAGATTCTCTTCTTTCCTGCTTTTTTTTCCCCCATTATTACTTCTGAGACTGGAGATTTTGTTCCAGATGAATTTTTAATATTTTTTTCTAGGTCATTATATAAAATATTATTTTGGGAGTTTGGTACAGCAGTGAATAGATAATTTGGGTAGTATTGTCATCTTTATTATATTGGCTTGACCTACCCATGAGCAATTTATGTTTCTCCAGTTACTTACATCTGTCTTTAAGTGTTTTATAGCTGGATTCACATAGTCCCTATGTGAATCTTAGTAGATAACACTGCCAAGTATTTTAGAGCTTCTGTAGTAATTTTGAATGTAATTTCTCTTACTAGCTCTTCCTGCTGGGTTTTATTGGTTATATACAGGAATGCTGCTGATTTATGTGGATTTGTTTTATTTCCCCTGCATCGGCTGGCTCTGAATCCAGTATTCTTTCCACTATATCAGAAGGTATGGTTTGACTTTGATTTTAGGGCTGATCCTCAATTACTATTTATGGATTAGTTTCAGCTTTTGGCCTGGGTGTACTGAGTCTCCTCCTTCCATTCAGTCCAATTCAATAAGCATTGATTAATCACCTGCTATGTATAAAGGACTTACTGTGGTAGGCACTAGGCTAAAATGACAAAAATGAATGATTTTGCCTGAGTCAGGGTGAGAAGGGGGGAGGCAGGAACAAGATAACATGTGCACAGATAAGTATATATACAGTGTAATTTCAGAGGGAAAAGGACATTAAGAACTAGGGAGAGCAGTAAAGGCTGCCCACAGAAGATGGCACCTGAGATGAGGAGGGAATGCATTCTGGGCATTAAAGACAGTTCATATAAAGGTAGAGAAGGGGAAGATGGTTTGTCAAGTTCATGAGAACAGCCAGTAGGCTGGTTTGGCTGGAACATAGAGTTTGTGAAGGGGCTTAATACATAAGATATAAGGGGCTTAATATTCATAAGGCAGGTCAGCTGGAGCTAGATTTTGGAGGGCTTTAAATACCAGGGATGAGTTCATCTGGAAGAAAAAAAGGTTAAGAATATCAAGGGAATTAATGAAAAAAATGTGAAGGAAGGTGGCCTGCCGTACCAGATTTCAAACTGTGTTATAAAGCAGTAATCATCAAAACAATCTGGTACTGGTTAAGAAAGAGAGTGGTGGATCAGTGGAAACAATTAGGTACAAAAGACTAATAAATGACAATAGTAATCTAGTGTTTGATAAACCCAAGCATCCAAGCTTTTGGGACAAGAACTCACTATTTGACAAAAACTGCTAGGAAAACTGGAAAACAGTATGGCAGAAACTAGGTATAGACCAACATCTTACACCATATACCAAGATAAGGTCAAAATGGGTGCATGATTTAGACATGAGAGGTGATACCATAAACAAATTAGGAGAGCAAGAAAGAGTTTACCTATCAGATCTATGGAGAAGGGACGAATTTATGACCATACAAGAGATAGAGAGCATTACGAGATGTAAAATGGATAATTTTGATTATATTAAATGAAAAAGTTTTTGCACTAACAAAACCAATGCAACCAAGATTAGAAGTAAAAAGCTGGAAAATAATTTTTACAACATCTCTGATAAAGACCTCATTTCTCAAATATATAGAGAAGTGAGTCAAATTTATAAGAATACAAATCATTCCCCAATCTATAAATGGTCAAAGGATATAAACAGGCAGTTTTCAGATGAAGAAATAAAAGCTATCTATAATCATATGAAAAATGCTCAAAATCATTATTGATTAGAGAAATGCAAATTAAAACAACTCTGAGGTACCACTTCACATCTGTCAGATTGGCTAACATGACAGAAAAGAAAAATGGTAAAAGTTGGAGGAGGAAAACTGGGGCACTAAGGCACAGTTGGTAGAGCTGTGAACTGAACTATGTCCAAAGGGCAATCAAACTGTACATACCCTTTGATCCAGCAATATCACTACTAGGTCTGTATCCAAAAGTGATTATAAAAAAAGGGAAATGACTCACAAATATATTTGTAGCAATTCTTTTTGTGGTGCCAAAGAATTGAAAATTGAGGGGATGCCCATCAATTGGGAAATGGCTGAAGAAGCTGTGGTATATGAATATAATGGAATATTACTGTGCTGTAAGAAATGAGTAGGCGGATTTCAGAAAAAGCTGAAAAGACACAAACTGATGCAAAGTGAAGTGAGCAAAAGCAGAGCATTGCACACGGAAACAGTAATGTTGTATGATTAGCTGTGAATAATTGAGCTATTCTCAACAATACAATGATCCAAGACAATTCCAAAACTGATGGAGTCTGAATGCAGATTGAAGCATACTATTTTTCACTTTTTCCCCCATTTTTTTTCCTTTTTGTCTGTGTCGTCTTTCACAACATGATTGATATGGAAATGTTTTTTCATGATTGCACATGTATAACCTATATAAAATTGCTTACCATCTCAGGGAGGAGGAAGAAAATTTGGAACTCAATTAAAAAGTCTTTACATGTAATTGGAGAAAATTACATATATATATATATATGTATATGTGAGTTTGTATACTAGTCTTCTAGAGTAGTGGGGAACCACTGAAGATTTTGAGTTGAGGAAGTGGTATTTGAGATGAGCTTTGAAGAAGGCTAGAGATTTTATAGGGTAGAGGTGAGAAATGACCACTTAGGAGCAGAGGAATTTTGAGCAGAGAACAGTCTACGTAGGGTGCAATAAACTTTATTAAGGGCAAAATATGACTCTTGACTTGAGGTAAACACTCTTGATTTAAGTCTAAAGGGATGCTCCCAAGAACTGGCTGGCTATGCAAGGCATCCTGACCATTGACCCTTGGGATGTTGTGCTAGCCCCTTAAAAATGAGAGGAAGAGAGAAAAACCAAGATAAATTATAGCAACGTGAGACTGCGAGGGATGAAAGCAAGATGTCAGGCATCCTTGTAAACCTCAGGTGACTTCTGGCCTGGCTGGTATCCATGTGTCAGCTGGGGTGGCTGATTCAGGTGTTCACAGTGAGGAGGGAAATCCCCCTTTATGACTCAGCAGGGAGAAGAGGAAGTGATAAAGGAGGGAGGGATGTTCTAGGGAAAGCCCTGGCACAGGGAAAACACCCTGATGCTAACGAAGCTGAATGTTTCCTCTTGCAGTGATGAGAATGTGGGCGCTGGGTAGGTGAGGGCTCCTGGGTCCCCAAATCCCACAATAAAAGGGAGAGCAGACTTTCACTGAGGTTCAGTAGGTGGGGGAATGGAGAAAGACGTGGGGTGGCTATGTTCTTTTTTCATCCCTTCCCTCTCTGACTTGGGTGCTAGTAAAGGATCTTCCCTCCTCCCTCCCCCAAATCTAGGAATGCCAAAAGCACAAAGTATGAGTGGAGAGAGAGGGAAGGGTCCAATCAAGTAAAGTGAGCTGGAAGAGGAATAGGGAAGATCCCGGTGCAGAAATTAGGGCTCTAGCTCTTTTTTCCACTGCTGTAGCTTGTCATCCATGGCCTCGAAAGTGGAGTCATTCTAAACAGAGATTGAAATTAACTTGCTTAGCCCAGGAGCCAGCAACAAGCCTCCTCATGTTATCTCGGAGCCCTCTTTGCCCCTCTCCAGTCCTGGGGGTGTACCCTTGATGCCAGGTGCAGTGATGGTGGACAAGAACCCATGGCATGCCAGGGTAAGATAGGTATTTTTGTGAAGAGGCCCAGGGAGGGGTGAGGTAGTAGCAATAACCACAGAGGAGTAGTGGTTCTGGACAGAAAAGAAGGAACAGGTTTATGGAGATGGGTCAGGCATCTGCCCACCATTTCTATACCCCAGGCATGTCACTGAGACATTGAATGCTAGTCTTTGGCATGAATTTGGATCCCTAGATGTGATAAAAAAAAAAATTCCCTCTGAAGTTAAGAGGGGAAGGAAGCTACAGCCGGGGCCTTGTAAAGATACCACTCTTTATCCCATCTCTTGATTCCACACTATTCCCCAGCATGCACACTCACCTTCATAAAGCAGAACCGGATGTAGTGGTCAAAATGCTTCTTGTGCTCTGAGCCACAAAACACTGAAACTGGAATGGCCACCAAGCCCTAGGAAGGAGAAAAAAACCAAGTCCCAGGCCAGGGAAAGGGGGAAGGAGAAAGGATAGGATAGGATCCAAGTTCATTTCTGACACCAGCTGTTGCTCCTGGCTCAGGAATCCAGAGCTACAGCATCATAGATGGTCAGAGCTGAAAGGAGTCTTATTTGATCTAAGTACAGAGAGAGAGGGAGGGAGGGAGGGCGGGCTTGGGAAGAGGGGCAAAATCATGCTTGCAACCCTCTGGTAGTTACCTTGTTCTTGATCATCCACTTGACAAAGCGAGAGTCATAGGCCTCTCCCTCTGAGCCAGGGAGGTGGGGCATCATTTTCTCTGCATGACATGGGGAAACCACATGAAAGCCCTTGATTAACTCCCAGAATGTTCCCTCTCTCCTCTCCCCTCTTCCCAACCACACTTTACCCCCTTCCCCCAGCCTCACTGAAGGTGGAGATGTCTGCCATGAGGAAGTAGGTGCCCTGAGGGATGATGGGCCTCATGCCAACGGTCAGCAAGCTGTTCACCATGTGATCCCGCATTTTCTGAACGTCTTTTTGCAGCTGGACAAAGTAGCTATCAGGCTGACCAAAGAACCGCAGCTCCCGCTCAAAACTGGAAGATACAGCTTCCTGGAATGTGGGGCAAAGAGTAGGAGAGGGGCTATCCAGGATGCTGTCAAGGATCCCAGGAGCCCAAGCATGACCTTCACTTCACCTGGGACGTGGCCCCTTCCCTCCTAACTAGACCTAGTCCTCAACTGTAGTGTCACGTAGCTGTGACCTAGGTTAAGTCCCTTACCCTCTCTGGGCCTGAACTGTCAAATAGATAACAATACTACCCACTTCACAGGTTTGGTTGTTGTGAGTAAAGTACTTTGTAAATCTTAGAGTGCTATGTAATTGTGAATTGTTGTTATTATTACATTTGTCATCTTTATCCCTATCAGCCCCAACCTAGTTCAGGCTCTTACTACCTCTCACCAGGACTATTATAGTAGTCTTTTAACTGGTCTCTTCAACTCTATGATCTCCCCTTTCCAATCACTCATACACAAGCATCTAAATTAATCTCCGTAGAATCCCATTTTCATTAGGCTTCTACCACCAACTAATTGAATAAGGTTTGCTCTAAGCCTCAGTTTCTTCCTCTGTAAGATAAATAAATTAGATATTTCTAAGGTTCCTTTCAGCTCTGAAGTTTTATAATCCTATGATCTTGTCACTTATCCTGCTCAAACACCTTCTATGGCTCCCCACTATCCCAAAGAGAAAATATAAACTTCTCATCCTAGCATTCCAAGCCATGTAGTTTTCTAGCTTTAGTTCTCATTGTTTGCCCCTTCATTTGTCCTCTACTCTAGTCAGGCTGATCTGTTTACTATCTGTTGAACATGTCACTGTATCTTTGCATCCTCTCATTAGGCAGACCTTCTAATCAATCACACATTTATTAAGCACCTACTATGTGCCAGGCATTACACATACAAAGAGTGAAACAATCCATACTCCCAAGGAGTTTACATTCTAATCCCATTTCCTACATGAAACCTTCCTGACCACTTTGTGTTATTTTTCTTTTTTGAACTTAAATACAAAATAAGAAAAGAAAAGAAAAACTAACATTGCGTTGTACACAGCAGAACATAGGAGAGGATTCAATATAAAACAATAAATTCCCATTTCAAGAAAGTTTGTATAGTAAATAGTACTCATCGTATTCAAAGCTGTCCATTTTTTCTTTGCTTCCTTATAGGTTTTCTTTTGTACTCTGCTGTGCACTTCTTTAAGTAACTTGCCCAGGGTCACACAGCTAGTAAGTATTATATGTCTGAGGCCAGATTTGAACTCAGGTCCTCCTAAATTCAGGGCCAGTGCTCTATCTACTGTGCCACCTAGCTGCCCCATCTGCTGTGCACTTCTACAGGCTACAATTAAGCTCTGATATACACACATATACACGTATAGACTTATATACACATATTTATAATCACACATACACATAC